ATATGTGTGTATGTATATATATATATATATATATATATATATATATATATATATATACTAAAATACATTTGTTTGAGTACCACAAAACAACAAAGTGCTGTAGTGTGTAGAATACATATCTGGTGTGATGTGCTGAGTGAATACTGGAGTGATCTCATCAAATAGCTCCCAGGCAGATCTTTTACCTCCTGCAAATGCTGATGTTGAATCACATCCAGTGAATGAGTGGAAAATGTAGAAATCATTCTGCCTTTTCTTCCAATCCTGGTGCTAATGGTATTTGTGGAGATGAGATGGTATGACTTGCCAAAACCAAAGGCCAACCTTAACTCAGTTTCTTTTTTCAGTTCCTTGGCTACTGCCAGGACAACCACATTTTATTTCACCTTTATTTAAACAGTTGGTCTCACTGAGTCACAAGGACTCATTTTCAAGAGAGACCAGTTTGGGAGCATCTGGTGGGGGTAAAGGGCCTTGCTCAAGGGCCCAGAGTCAGGCAAATGAGGGTGGAGGCAGGTGTGGGTGTTTCACCTTTTCCACCCAAATTTTGATGTTGCCAATTTGGTTATTCGAACCGGCGACCTTCCAGTCACAGGCCCACCTACTCTAACCTCTGCGCCACCGCTCCCAACACTAACAATATCTTCTGATGTCCGGCCCTATCCCTGGAATTCTTTGTGCAACATATTTTGTGCACTGTGTTTTTTCGAGTCAGTGTTTTGTTGATGCCACTACCATCATGCATTATTTACAATTTTATGTTAACTGGAAATTTCCCCCAGACTTTCACATTCTAGAAGCATTTAAGAAATTTTGTCACGCCCACATGACTCTGTCATCCTTTTTTTTCCATTCATTCAACCTTTATTTAGACAGGTAAGTCCCATTGAGCCTTGAGGACTCATTTACAAGAGAGACCTGATTTCAACAAAGAAAGATGACAACAATGCACAACAGCAACAATAATAAACAGTTACAAAAAGTCATACAGAATTTTTTATTTTTTTTTAACAAATAGGATGGCTAAAAAAAGACAAGTAACAAAAAACAGCTAGATTCTAAGGCGAATGTAGAAAACTAAAAACAGGAACATGTCTGCATTGGTCCCTGCATCCTTTCCTTGGCTGGGCATATAAGTTTTATGTTTGTTTTTTTTTTTTTACCTCTTGGCAAAGAAAAAACAATTTCCAATCCATTTCAACTTTTCATGGTGTTGCCTGTGATGCATTGTCTTGTGGCACACCATCCTTAGATTCCAAAATGGTAACAAGTATACGGATATGAACCAACACTGATATACAAAATCCATGTTTGCAAGCTATGTACAATAACAAGACACTAAACAATATTCCACATCAATGTTTTATTAATATAACTTTCCCTGCCACTCTTCTTAGAGCACACCTGCAAAAATATAAACCAAACAAGTCTAAAGACTACACTGCATATTTAATGTTATAAGGTAGTACATGGAATCCACATATTTGTATACTTACTGTACGAATCAGCAATGTAAAGAATAATTCAAAGCATGGCAAGCAGACTATTAGGTGTTTAGATTGAAATCTTGGATTCAGAAAGCAGAATAGTCAAAGTGCACATCACCATACAGCATATATACTGCATGTACAAGCTTCTACTTTACGGTTTAGTTAGTTTCATGCAGGACTGTTCAACTGTGAGCCACTCTCCTACACATTGTCCATATGACTGCATTCCTGTGCTCCACCTGAAATGTACCTAAAAGAGCAAGAAAAATCAACTAGACTAGAAACAACTTGTATAATCCTTCTAGACTGCATGGTTATTACACTGACTAAAATCTACAGCTGCAATCAGACCTTATCTGGAAATAACTCAAACGTCTATTAATCATATGCATATACCTATTTTTCAATGCACAGTTTTATCTGTTGCATCTAGGCAAGAATATATCCCTTTATAATCCAGTTATTTTGACAATAGGTCAAGATAACCTGAAACAAAATTGACAAGATAATGTCACAGAACTCTATTTTACACCATCATAAGAGCAAAGGTTAAGATGTCTCCAAGAGTACTTTACATATATAGAATGTCATGCATCCTAGAACAAAAATGTTTTATTAGATTTTTAAAGCTCATTCATGTATATTTAAACACCAAGTTTTCATCTCTAGCCCAACTTTAAGTTGTTTGACTAAAGCTATACTTGTCAGCTATTTTAAAAATGCCTGCCACGGTATGTTTTATGACTAAAATTCCCCGGAGGTACAAGTGTATTATGTTTGTGCAGGCAGTAAACTTTGTTTTTGGTGCATTCCCTGTTCAATTCCAGTCCAGAAAAACACTCACTATTCAAACCCCTCAGTGACGGTGGGCATTGTTATACCACTTGTTCATATGTCGATTATTTATGATTTATTTGGGGGTTAATTTGTAAATGATTAGGGCTAGGACTCCTGGCTCAGGAGCACAGAGAGGTGCCAGTCTGTTGGTTCAGGTGGGTGCTCACTAAACTTCTCTCACCTGCAGGCCTCTCCACTAATAAATGTGTTTCAGTTTCATCCTGAAAGCACAAAAAGGCACCCCCTGCCAGCTCATCCTGCAACTCCCCCCTAATAATTTAGTTCCATTGTGAATTAGTGTTTTTTAGGTTTCTCTAATACCTCGTCCATCGTTCTCCAGACACTATATTTTAGGTGCATTTTGTGGCTTTTTCTTTCTCCTGACCCACCAGACCAGCAGCCTCTCTCTTCCAGTTTTACTGATTTACGCGTTTAGCCCGCAGTAAGAACATAAAATGTAGTCTATTACGATCATGAATCTAAATACCAAAGAAACATAGTGTAGTAAAGCTGCCGCTGTGCATCTTTTAATACAATGGAAACTGCTTAAAGGGGAAACGGAGAGACTGTTTATTCCCAGATGTATACTCATAATGGTTGTTTTAAACACAATCTATTAGATAAAGAAATGCATGGCAACACCAGTGCTAAAATCATACTAATTCACTTTTCTGGGGAATTTGGTCCTCATTAGGAGGGCCCAGACTGGCTTGCACTGGTGTGTGCATGCTCTTATTCTGTGCAATGTATTAACTAAAACGTGCACACAAAATAATCAGATCATGGAAACAATGTGCGCATAATGTAATAAAACAATTGTTCTAATCTTTTTTTTATTTATTCACGATTATTCCAAAACTTGTCAGGTTTTTAACTTCATTGCACGTATTTTTTTTTTTTTATATTTAGGTTTTTATAGCTGTACTGCCTCTCTCTCAATATTTCACCTCATTAAATCAGGACACAAGCTGCATTTTTTTTTTTAAAACTTTCTCTTCATTTTCTCATAATATAACTTGTCTGTTCGTGTTTTCATTGCAACGACTCAGTGAAAACAAGAACTTTTATTTTCACGCTAAAAGTGCAATATTCTTTGTTTGCTTTCTTCTTTTTCTGATTATCTTGTCTCAGTAATATGCTTATTACACACTTTATTCAATCTCTAGACTTCATTTCAGCAAAGCACTTGATTCTTTTGTACAACTTTATTGTTATTCTTGTTCTATAATTTTTCTCACATTCACACAGTCACTCTCTCATTCCCTGGAATAGTTATTTGATCAGATTACAGTAGCTATAATTAAACTCTCGATGGAGGCCATCAAACCGCACAGCCAGCTGTTGTTTGATCTAGACAATTGGAACGTTCACCCCCTCCCTCCTACCCCCCGCACATACACAATTACAGCTGTGGCCAGGTCTTGGGCACAATGCAATATTTTTCAATTTTCTCTAATTGTGTGAAAGCGGTAGTCCAAGTCAGCCTATTGTATATTCCACCCCCTCCACTGCCTGGCCTATATGGACGCTAACTCCAGAATTAACTTACCAGACCCGGGTCTCAAATCAGATCACTGCCAGCATCTATTACGACTGCCTAGCAACACTTTCCTACATGCAGGTTGCATAAATGTCTGCTAAATTAGATCGGCTTAATGCTGAAAGTGCCAAAAATGTGATTGTAAATGTTTTAAGTTTGAGATTGTTCTCAGAAGTGGTTTCTTTCTTTATCATATTTTCCTCTCCTTTCCTTCCAAATTATTATTTTTTTCATACTAATGTACAAGTTTTCCACTTCTCACAGATGAGCAGCGTGAAGCGCCTGCGACCTCGTCTCAGCCACATCCTCTTCCGACTGCAGTTCGAGGAGCATGTAAACAATTTGCGCCCAGACATCCTGGCAGTAAATGCAGCGTGTGAAGAGGTCAGGAAGAGCCACGCTTTTGGCCGCCTGCTGGAGCTCGTGCTGCTGCTAGGGAATTACATGAATGCAGGCTCTCGAAATGCCCAGTCTTATGGCTTTGACCTCAGCTCCCTCTGCAAGGTAAGGCTGAAATGCTGACCTTGCCATTGACGTTTTGCATACAGTGAAGTAGTCCTTTTTCCCTCCAGTGACAATGGTTTAGTAATACCCACGAGATAAACTTTTTTTTTTTTATTGTATTGAATCTATACAGCTGAGTTTACAAGTGAACTATTGAACTAGTAAGTCACTGATCTGAACTGAAACTTTTGTGGATGATGCCATCTTTATTCACCCCTCTCATTGATTAGGCCTCATTAAATTGACTTTTTCTCTAGCAAAAGTCAAGGTTGTATTGAAATAAATTATGTTTAATTTATTTTTTAGTTCCACAAATTCCAGTTTTCTTTTCTCACTATATGTTTTTGCAGGCCTCTTTGTGTGCTGACAGCTTCTCTCTGCAGAAAACTTGCTGCCTAACTGTGGGAATTACCGTAAATGCTAGAAAATCTGCAACACCTAAAATAAATTACCATAGAGTTGGGAAAAACTGCCGTCTAAAATAAGCTACCTTATGTTGAATAAATCTGTGACAACTACAATGAAAACTGTAGAAAACATGTGACTATTAGAATTTTACTTTTAATGTGGGGAAACTTGTGATGCTTAAAATGAATTCCTGCAAATAAACAAATAAAAAAAACTAAAAAAAAAAAATAAAAAAAAACCTGGACAGTCTAAAATGAGTTTTCCGTTAATGCTAAAAAAAGCTGCTTCATCTTAAATGAATTATCATAAATACTGTAAAACTTGTACAATAATGATAATGATACTTTATTTATAAAGCCCTTTAAAACAACCACAGCTGCAACAAAATGCTGTACACATAAATAAGTACAAGTTAAAATGTGTAAATTATTTACACAATTTATTTCTTCTGAAATTTAACAATTAATCTGAGTCCAGATAAGACTTTATTTGGTCCATGATCTGGACTGTTACCCCTAATATAGATGATGATTTCTACATAAAGAATAAGCTGGAGTCCTAAGTACCCTCGTCCAGATTCACCAACAGATTGGGCATCCTTTGCAGGTGCAATTTTGGATTTCATGTATCTGTTTTATTCACAACCCCCTCACAAAATTATGTTTCTGCCTCTAACTTTGCTGTCAGCCAGTTGATGTCTGTGAACATGAAAACGTAGTTTTAACATGACTAGGACATTCTATGGATGACAATCATTATTATTCAAGTGCATTATTCAGTCTCATTAAGTTTTACAATTCAGTTATGAGAGGAAAATGTATCTGTCTAACAAAATCTGTCATTTTTTAGCTACAATAAGTGGTATCGCCTCATATCAGGTGTTGTTCTCATCTGGATTTTACAATGTTTGCTCGTTCTTCTCCTTCAGTTACCTGAGTGTCAAAGACCACATTTGTGGAGCATGCTCAAAGCACCATGGCCAATTTAAATGCAAATAAACGCACACATAGAAGAAATACATGGTCTCTCAGCTGTAATATCAAAGTGTTTGTCTTTGAGGGGTTCAGTTTAATGTATTTTCCCTGAGACAGAGAAGTTACTTGCATTTAAACACTGCCTGGCCAAAAAAAAAAGTCGCCACCAAAAACAAAGGTCACACTAATCTTTTCTTGGACCGCCTTTAGCTTTGATTACGGCATACGTTCACTGTGGCATTGTTTCGATAAGCTTCTGCAATGTCACAAGATTTATTTCCATCCAGTGCTGCATTAATTTTTACCAAGATCTTGCATTGAGTGACTAGGCACTAGGCATGATGGGTGCATCACTTCACCTGCCTCTCTTACCCTGATGCGTCCATCACTCTGGAACAGGGTAAATCTGGACTCATCAAACCACATGACCTTCTTCCATTGCTCCAGAGTCCAATTTTTATGCTCCCTAGCAAACCAAAGCCTTTTTTTCCTGGTTAGCCTCACTGATTAGTGGTTTTCTTAAGGCTACACAGCTGTTCAGCCCCAATCCCTTGAGTTCCCGTCCCATAGTGTGTGTGGAAATTATCTTACTTTCACTATTAAACATAGCCCTGAGCGCTACTCTTGTTTTTCTTCGATTGGATTTCACCAAACGTTTTAAGTGATCGCCGATCACGATCATTCAGGATTTTTTTCCGGCCACATTTCTTCCTCTAAGACGATGCGTCCCCACTATCCTTCCAGTTTTTAATAATGCGTTGGACAGTTCTTTACCCAATTTTAGTAGTTTGTGCAATCTCCTTAGATGTTTTCTCTGCTTTATGCCAATGATTTGACCCTTCTCAAACAGACTGACATATTTTCCACAACCACGCAATGTGTCTTTCAACATGGTTGTTTAAGAAATGAGAAGCAACTCATTGCACCAGTTGGGGTTAAATAACTTGTTGCCAGCAGAAAGATAATCACCCATGCAGTAATTATCCAATAGGAGGCTCGCACC